AGTGGCAGAGCTGGGGGAGGCCTTGGCAACATGGCTGAGCTGAACTTTGCCCGCTGTAGATGCACTAGGGAGCCATTTTCCCTTCTCACCCCTTAGTTATTCTCCCTGTTTTGCTGTTTTGTTTGTTTGGGATATCAAGGCACATGGTTCACTGTGATTTACAGCATTGAACTCCCGTTTCGCCCAGCTCCCTCCTGAGCCCCCTGTCCCCCCATGCTAGCAGTGCTCGGCTGATACCCTGCCCCGTGTATCTGATCCAAGACCCCCAGAGACCTGGCATGCAGTGGGTGCGCATAGGGCTTTCAGTTTATATAAACCTGTAGTTCTACAGTTGCACACATCCCCATGGAAACCACGAGGAGTTTCCCCTTGGTGAGGACGGCAGTAACATCACTTCCTGCTGCTGACAAACCAATTTGTCACGAAGTGATAAAAAGGCATGTTTTGTGTTCGCAGGAACTGGCTCCCGGCTTTGTTCCTCCCAAGCCAGAGGCTGCTCACCCGCCCCGAAGGCAAACAACGGCCATTGTGTGCTGCACAGAGTAGGGATGGGGAGATGCGGACAAGCCCTCCGGACCCCTAAAATGCCAGAATCTGGACCACCAACACTATGCAAATGTTCTGAAGCATATAAAGAAAGCACAAGCCATGGCAGCGTGTAACCCAACGCAGCAAGTGGAGCCCCATACAGCACCCTCGGACAGGTCCCCACAGCCAAGGGGTGTACGCAGCCAACCCATGCGGGGACACAGCACATGAGCCGCGTGTAATATCCCCAGCAAGATGCAATACCCAGGGGATACAGCATACCCAGTTATCACATGCCAAACAGACACAGAGCTCCAGATTAGACGTGTCTCTGGTAATCCCCTTGTCTCAAAGCTTTTGCCTTTCTTTTGTAATCAGCGCTTGGAAAGACGCTGGGTGTACTCAAGCTTAGGGACTATCCTGCATTAGTCACCCCTGGTATCAGACTAGCAGGGCCACAAGGATGTGTTGTGCCATTACGTTGAAAAAAGAACATTACATCCAGATCATACACAGGCAAATCTAGTTTGCCTGGTTACCACCTGTTTTTTTTTTTTCTCTGTCTGGCACTAGGGCAGCAGAAAGGGCGCTGAGAGTCATTTGGAAATGGTATTTAAGTGCAGCCCCAGAGAGCCCACTCCCCAGCTCTGCAGACAAGTCTCAGTGCAATGGGGAAGGAGAAAAGGTCGAAGTGTGTGACTGTCTAGTGTGGTTAGAAGTCCCTATGCCTCAAACCTCATCTAAACCAGTTTCTTATCCTTTCCCTTGACCAGCAAGGATGTCCGTGACAGACCTCTATATGCAGTGTAGCCAATGAGGCTCTACCCAGGGCTTTGGCTTCTCCAAATCTGCTCCAACCCAAGGCTGTAGGGAGTTTGGAAAAACTGCTCAAACTGAGAATCAAACCCATTTATGCTGAAAGAAAAAATTAGCCCTGAGGTTTGTGCTGCATATGGCCTTGCTGCTACACACTGTTTACTATGGTGCAGAGCCAGCGGCCACAGCTGATGGGGGGCTGGCAGCCCTGCTGAGAGACATGGCCAAGGCACCTGGCCAGGTGGGTCCTGTTAGCACCCATCAAGGGCATGAAATGTTAAGTGGGACCAAGATAGCACAAGAGGGGAAGCAGCCCTGAAGGGAGAGACCTGAGAGCTTGGGGGGAAGCAGGACCTGCTGATGTAATTGGTGTTGCTGTGGAGACTTCAGCCTGGCCAGCCAGCCCTGATGGGGACCTGGCTTGGGGTCTGGCTCAGGTCTTTGTGTCCTTTTGCTCAGGCTGAGGGCAATATTCAAGGGGTGAACCCTGGCACCTGAGAGGAAGCAATTGAGTTGCTCTGCTGCTGAGGTGGGTAAAAGATTCCTGTTTTTGAGAGCTTTTTCCTATTTTGGAAGTACAGTTGTACAAACCTGTGCCTGTTTGGAGAGCACTGACAAGATCCTATGTGGACCTGATACTGTTAGTCTGGCACAGAGCAAGCTGGTTCCATCATTGTAAGACTAGTGGCCAAATTCAGGGGAAAAGGCAGGTTTGTTCTTTGTCCTTACATGGTGTGGGTTTGTTTCTTTTTTTCTCCCCTGGGAGTTTCTCCAGGTGTTGTGTGTGGCTGT